CATGTTGTCCAAATTGTGTGTGATTGTTTGGGGTGCTTTTGTCAACCCTGTTATACTTCTTCCTTATAGAATAGTGAATTTAGATGATCAGCAGCTTCCATATTGGTTACTAATTCAGCAGGAACTTTAGAAGACTGTAGTGGAACATAAAAAGGTGAAATTAAATGATTAGGCAGGTTAAAAATTTAAACAATAACCTGTTTAAAAAATCATTAGAATTTGCCCTGATGAAGTAAAGCAGAATACAACCTACAGCAATGTTTCCATTAGTTATATAATATGACAAGCTGTGTTTCTAATTTCTCTGTGAAAATCTGTTACTTCTTTTAAATTTCAGATGATGAAGTTTGTGGTGATCAGTTAGGAATGAAAAGGAAACCTAAGTGTCATTGCATCACATAAGGGATACAGGATATTTTCTGATGCTTGACGCACAGTCCCTTTCTTGAAGTACAGTTAATGGGGCCATGATATATTATCCTTTGTCTGAAGAAAAACTTGTTTTTAAACCAAAAATATTTCTAAATTTGTTTTTATCAGGGAAAATGAGTTTTAATATACATTAAATTTTCCCATCATCAATGATAAATTAGATTTAGAAATTCTTTTAAAATGACATGACAACATGCTACATTTGACTTAGTTCATGACAAGTCTCGTATTTGTGGATGAAATACTATAAATCTTGGGTAGGGTAAGAGTTGGCTTAATGAAGTAAAATAGAGGAAATAATAATTCCTTAGGTTAATGGAACATTTTTCATCCCTTTGTTCCTCACAGTTACCACCTAGCTGTGCTCCCGTCAGTTAGATTGGTGATTTTGATGTAAAGATTTTGCCTTATCAGTTGGATGTGATGCTCACTTCCCTTAGATTATTTGGTGATAACTTGAATCATATTTTGTAAACAGACTACTGCTAAAAATTTTAACCTACCTAATCATTTATGTTACTTTCACTTTTTAATATTCCATTAAAGTCCTCTAAAGTTTACAAGCTTCCTGTTGATTCATAAACATATTCATGTTTGATAGTCACTACAGTGATCTGCTTGCGTAATAAGCTTTCACTATAAGGAAAGAACATACCATGGAAATATTTCTTTCTTCTTTCTTTCTTTCTTTCTTTCTTTCTTTCTTTCTTTCTTTCTTTCTTTCTTTCTTTCTTTCTTTCTCTCTTTCATTTTCTTTCTTTCTCTTTTTCTTTCTTTCGTCTTTCTTTTTTCTCTTCCTTCTCTATTATTTAAATGTTTTTCCTCCAACAAAGGAAATTTTGTAAAAAAAAGAAAAAAAAATCTTATACTTTGAGAAACACCAATTTGCTTAGTTTTGAAGGGAAAATAGGCTGTTTTAATTAAGAGTTAAAAGCAGTGGTAAATTGCAATATAAGGCATTTCAAGGTGGGATAAGGAAGCAGGGTATAACAAAAATTCTCTAAAAGTCTGAGGTAAGGGGTAAATATGATCAGTGAAATTATGGTAAGTGCCTATGAAAAGTCATGCTTTGTATTAAATTGGTGACACTTGCTACTTCCAGTACATTCCCATTTATTGTAACATAAAAACAATGGGTTAAACTACTTTTCATTGGCACAATCAGAATAAAAACCATATTTCTCCTGCAGTTCTCCCTGTAATCTAGTTTGAAAAGTCTTTTTTCATTCAGTGACAATTTATGCCTAGCACTGTGATAAACATTTGGGATGCATATACAAAAACAGTACTTCCATCCTTTTGGTGCTGTCAGGTAGAGAAGTTAGCCGTAATCCTTTCTTCCTAGGTCCACACCCATTTTCCTCAAAAAATAAGCAGAAGAAGAGATGAAGCAGTTGCTTTGCTCTCTTCAGACTGCACATTAAAATGACCTGTGGGATAGTAAAATTAATGAAAAGTAATGCAAATACAAAGGTCCCAACTCAAACCGACAGAGTCAGAATCTGAGATGGCAGTGCTTGGCTCCTTGCTTGATTTGAAGGCGGGCGCCCTCTGATTCTATGACACAGCTAGGGATGGCCGACTCCCATCAGGCGGGGAAGAGAACAGGAGCTGGCGAATCACAAAATATACTCAAGGGGCGGCTTGCTGAAAAGTCAGGCATGGCTCTTGGAGGAGTAAACCTTGAGACAGTTCTTAGAAGACTGATAAAGATGAAGATTCAGGGATCTCAGCTTGCTTCTCTGCTTCTCTTAGAGCATTTCCATAAAAAAGGCTTAAGCAGGTCAGGGACAGGGGACTTCAGAGCGCCTTTGGAAAGTAGCTACAACACGTGCAAGCACAGGCTGGAAATAACGAAAAGGAAGTGAAAGAAAACCTGCGTATCTGGGGCACAGAGGGGGAACAATGATTCCACTCAGACAGTCAAGGAAGTGAGCACTATGAGTCCTGACTACCATGTGAATCACTGAACTTGATCCTAAGAGCGGGAATTGAAAGTCATAAGCAGATCTGCATTTCATAAGGTCACATTGACCACTGTGTGAACGATAAGACATTGGAAGTGAGGGAAGTGGAAGTTGTCGAGGAGTTTGTTGCAGGACGCAAGATGAAAGAAAGGAAGTTGGCATGGTGGAGGGCAGTGAAAATGGAAATTGGTTGAATATGCAAGATATTGAAAAATTACAATAAAAAGCCTACCAGAGCACTCAGTGAAACTAAAATCATCAACTGTTTCTTATGTCAAAATTTTCTTCCTGTGTTCAAAAAAAATGGGACTAAAAATAGATATTAAAAAGTACTGTAGTTAAGCTATGTGCATATGCTATGTACTATATACATGTGAATATCTGTGACACATCATTTTCAGCTGCATTAGAAATGGGAGATTTATAAATGCCATCAAACAGGAAACTAAAAGAGTGCTGTAAGTTAGAACAACTATTGAATAATAAAGTTACAAAACATAGATTTAAAACTAAGGGCTGAGACAGTCATCTGATGACAGATATAATTATTGTAGCTCAGGGAGCTGTGCCAGCCTACGGACGTTCTGCAGAAATCTTAACTAGGTTTTGATTTTGTTACTTAAGAACTGGAATGTATGGGGTGTATTTTTTCCACTAAACATAACGTGGAATTTTTCACACAGTTTATTTGATTTGATCCTTATATTTTTCCTGTGGGATTAGACAATTTGTGATTAGGAGGCAATTTCATAGCTTGTCCATGGCTGAATCATGCATACTTTATTTGCATATCACTTAATTTGATTTTACTCATATGATAATGTCAATCATATCCTAAAGTGTAGGTTCATTAATATTATTTGAACACAATGAGAAAGATTTACCTGCAGGGTAAAGAAAAGGTGAGGCCTAAGAAGTGGTATAAATCACAGAGGGGTCAACATCAGGCAACCAAGGGAAGGAATAAATAAGATGTTCACGTTGGTGACACGGCAAAACCAAATAAGAGAGATTTTCTGGGAAACACACAGAGAATTTTAAGAGAACAGGAAAGAAAATGTTCTGAAACATCTTTGAAGGAAATGAGTAATTGGGGAAAAATTCAGTCATAGGAAGATGAGAGAATCAGTTCAAGTTAAGACTTAAAAGGCAGTGAATGTTCAGACCAAAACCCACATGGATTCTTTGAATTTAGATCAGTGCCTTTTAAGGAGTGGCTATCAGTTTTCCATGCAAAGATCCAATCTGTAGGTCTTGTTGAGTTGGGGTGAAAGTGATCAGAGCCTCTTCGTGCAGATCTGAAGAGAAGGTGCAGTCTTCTCCTGCTCTCTGAAAACATAGCAGAGATTTCCACAGAGAAAGGCTTCCTTATAATTCCTTGGGCTGAGTGTGTTTGCCGTAGTAACTAGTGGGGAGGAAAAAAAAAGAGGGGCGCTCAGTCTCTAATCCACCAACTGGGAATAAATCACACAGATGAATTCATAGGGGTCTGGAGCACCATGGTCAGAAATACTAAAGAGGCTGTAGCAAAAGGAATACATGTGCAAAGTAGGGAGAGGATATGTGCGCTTTCATAGGCTTAACATTCTAGGATTAGAAGAGTTTATTCCTATATTCCAGTGTCTGCTGTTCTGCAGATGAAAAATGGCAGGCTGAAGTGAATTGACTTGGTAAAAGTTGAAACATTTAATGAAGACAAACCACTTTCCTGCTCAAATAGCATGCTGGATATTATATGCATGTTTAAAGAAAGACTAGAGTGACCAATAGCATTGAGTTATTAAGGTGATTAATCTTTTTTCATAATATGCATCAGTACTTAAATTTTACAAACAGAAGCAAACTATTTGCTATTATCATATTTTATTTTTCCTCAATTCTGAGGTTGCTAAGTTGTGCAGCGATACACAGAACATGCCTCTGAGAAGCTCACCATCTGGTGAGGAGAGAGGATGCCTGATGGACAGCTACAGTGCTACAATGGAAGTACAAATGTGGTCCAGAAGGAGAAAAGTAGACAGCCTGGGGGAAAGGAGGTTACACTCCTAAACATGAGGAGTTCCTTGGAGTTTAAGAACTCAGCGAAGTAAGTCAGGTAGCAAGATCATCCTGGACAAAAGCAATGGCATGTAGGAAAGCAGAAGATTGAAGAGACAGGTTATTTATGTGAAAGGGTGGCATGTTTGACACAGCTTGAGTGTGGTGTGAGACAGTGTGGAAGAAACTGTGGGTGATGAAGTTGGCTCTTGTGGTTTAAGCCAGCAATTCAGTTCCTTTTTAGGCAACTGTGGGGGACTTGGACCAAGAATGGCTCGTTCAGACTGGTTTCCTTGAGAGATAACTCTGGCTGCATTTCCATCACCATAATTCTATGTATGAATTTTGTTTCTGCTGATACTTAATTTGGGAGTTTAGGAGCTGTCTTCTCTTTTTATCAGTGTTAAATGACATTGGTCAGTTGGCAGTGAATGTCCTCTCAAAATGCTTTATAAAGAAATCAGATGATCTTATATATGCTGTATGTGAGTTATAAAAAATACATGGATGATTACGTGACAAATCTGAATTTGAATTACCTCATTTTTAACTTATTCTTTTAAGGTCTTACAGCAGCAGCTGCAGCAGCTGCTGCTGCTACCAATGCAGCTATCGCCGAAGCAATGAAGGTGAAAAAAATCAAATTAGAAGCTATGAGTAACTATCATGCCAGTAATAACCAACATGGAGCTGATTCCGAAAATGGAGACATGAATTCAAGTGTTGGTAAGTTTTATGTTCACTGAAGTGAATTGTGATCCCTTTGCCATGGAACTACTTACTTTTCCAGAGCCAAACCCTTTTCTACCCACTGAGAAGTTAAAGTTAGTGCTAGCACAGGAACACTGAGTATTGTGAGGATAACCATTCTATCCACATGTGCTCTGCTGGCATGGTTGGCACTACTAATTTTTTATAGGATCAACTAGGTAAGTATTCAATTAACATATTCCATAATACACATAAATATTAATAATCAGAATAATAAATATTGAGTGTAGTTAAAACAAAAGAAAAATATATACTAATACAACCCAATGATTTACTTTTTATTCTTTTAATGCATTTGTTATAAGGTAAGAAGTGTATCACTATCACCAGCAAAGTGCATACAGCAGTACCCTCAGCTGTGGAGGCTGTGTCCCAAGACCTCAGTGGATGCTAGAAAACATGGATAGTGATAAACTTCATGTGTATTATGCTACATATATACCTATAGTAAAGTTTACTTTACAAATTAGGAATAGTAATAGCTTAGCAATTACTTAAGATGGGACAATGACAACAATGTATTATGATAAGTTATTTAACTAATGAATTGCTTATTTCTGGAGTTTGCCATTTAATATTTTCAAATCATAATTATTGTAGGTAACTCAAATTATTAGAGACAAAACCATAAAGGAGGACTACTGTACATCTTTTTCATGTACTACAGTGAACAAGGATGTAATTCTTTCTATATACAGCCACTACCATTGTCTCTGCCATTAAAAATACAATTTTAATTTTTCTTTCCTTCTGTATAGGCAAGAAAAGATGAAAATTTAACTCTTACAGTCAAGCCAAATAAAACTGTTTTACTGTGGAGAATGTTCATTTGAGTAATTTATTTTGTCAAAAACAATTTCAAATGTGGATTAATTTTTTATTGATAAAATCTATAGCACCTGGAAGATAGCATGCTAAAACATTTTTATTTGGTTACTGTACTGCATCATTTTCCTTTAACACACAGAAATCATATTCATAATGTAACTTAATACTGAAAATTTGGATTCTACAAAATGTGTACCAGCTGCCATATTCAACATATGCTCATGAAGGACCCCAAAAAATTGTGGTAGTCCAGTTAATTCTCTTCTCCATGCAGCATTTTCACAGATAATTTCCTGAGTAATAGCAAACCCTTTATTTTCAACCATTCATTCTGTTCATAATTATGGGTATCGTATATGAAGAAATACTGTCGATTTCAGGAATAGTCACTTTTACATCAGTTCTCTGGAAACAGACACTAGCCATGACTATAAAATTCAGAAGTGCTTTTGGAATGTACATACAAAGCACAGAAAGCCACTGCTTCTGTGAAACTAAAAGGCAGCTTTTAATGTGAATTGGGAGAAAGTAAAACTGTTCACCATAACATCATAAGATGCCTTGAAAGAGACTGGCAGCAATGGTTTGAATTGAGAAAAAGTATTGGTGGCAATGTTTGGAAGGGTGAAAAGACATGAAAGAAATTCTAGAGAGAGAGCAAAAACTGAAAAAGACTGAAAAAAAGGTAGTGCTTGCCTTTCTAAGTGCTATTAGGGAGAAGACCAGGAAGATCGGATTATTTAGTTCATGGTTTGTATATGTAAATTGAGACTTTTAAGTTAAACCAGTATTAAAGTAACATGAAAGAATTATAAAGCTGCTTTTGGAGCTATTACATGTATATTGCTTTAAAATAAAAGTCATTTACTTTGGCAACACTGAACAATATTGAACACTTTTAAAAATAAGTTATTGGCCACTATAAACTATATATTGTTCCAAAATGTAGCCTGCATTGTTTTCAAAATTTTTGATAGTTGGTGTTTTCAGGAGAGATTCTTAGAGTAGGCAACATAATAACATTTTAAACAAAATATATTAAAACATGTTGCCTTGGAATTTTTCTGAGCAATAGAATAGTGATCACTTCTGGAGAAACCAGTAGTCAAAAAGTGAGAAGAACATAACTCATAATAAAGCACTAATATGCATTTAGTATTTGATGGTGTGCACTAACATTTTGCTGTGGTTAAATTATAGCTTACTTTAATGCATTGGTTCCTAGGCTATCTGAATAGCTTAAAATAAAATAATCTAAATTTCACTGTGTATTGTAATTGGAAGATATAATTTTTCTTCCAATAAAGGATGTAGCTGGTAGTTTATACTGCTTGTTAGCTTTGACATTGACTATCAATCCTTAATTTGGATCAGGAACAGAAATTTACTTAAATTTTCCCAGAAAGTTTTGATATTTTGAGATGTGTTACCATCATTGTCATTGCTAATTCCTAATGCATGTGGTTCATTCTATTGTACATATACTTTGGACAAACAAACAAAAATTTACCATTTTCATATGCTCCTGTCTTCTAAAAATTTTCAGTTTATATTATTCTTCCCAAGGACCTCATGTTTCCCTATAAGAACATGTACCCTTACATGTTCATCTAGAGAGCAGGGAAAATCAGCTTGGGAAGGGAAGAGGTCATTGGAAAGGGTAGAGAGGAGTGGGACTGGGACTTACAATGCAGTCACTGAATTAACCAGTTTTTATGATCCTGGTCTTCTCTGGTTCTGAGGACAGTGCCTGCCTCTGGGTAAGTATTCAGTAATTATTTGCCCTGCCACTTTGGAAAGTTATGTAAACCTCCTGAGCCTAACATTCCACATTTGGAAAAATGGTATCGATAACAATGTCTACATCATGAGATTTTAAATGCATGTTTAGTGCTTATTGCATTGCTTAGTTGGCATTTTGGCATTGTTTTTGATATTACTATATCTCTAAGCCTACCCTCCTGAAAATAGCCTTTTTCCTCATTTCACTGCTGTAAACTGCTTCCTGCTATTCTCTCTGATAGATATTACTTGTTACACTGTGAGGAAATTTGAGGGTAGCTGTTACATCATTTGAAATTTTTGTATATTCAATTTCAGTGCATGCAAACAATACAAAAATAATCTAAGACAGGCCCGGAAACCAAGGTGCATACAGTCTATGGGTGGGATGGCTAAAGAAACAGGCAGCTCTAACAGAAAGTGCTGCATCCTCCAGGAGAATCAGTTCTCATGAAGGAGTAAAGAATTGGGATTGAAATATATGAATTCCAGAAGAATCTCAAGAATCTCGAATGCACATCTGTCAGAATACAAATTTACTAATCCCGTGAATCAATTGGCTCTTTGAAGTCACTTGAGTGAGGTATTGGGGCCACTTAGTCTTGCTCAAATCTACTGACATTTTGGAAGTCAATTCAGTGCTCCATTTACCTCCTATACTCATTTGGCACACAAGTGCTTGTAAATATTGTAAGCATTCTTTTGTAGAAGCACTTTTTCCCCCTTGGTTGTAAATAAATCCATGCAGTCCCAGAAAATAGATTTTTGTTGTTGATCAGTTTCATTTGGTTTGGTTTGGCTTGGCTTGGTAAGGAGACCATGTAGTTTTGTTATAGAAGATCTTTTGCACTTTTTAATGTGAATCTTAAAAATTAGCCGAAAAAAAGCTATTCAAACACATCTTTGACACCGACAAACAATTATTTTGTACCCCGATCTTACTTGGTAACCTTGAGCTCACAGAGTGATCACTTTCAGGGTGAAGTGAGGACCTCAGAATGGATCTAAGTGAGGCATCAGCATACTGAGTGAAATATACGGCCACGTCGCCCTTCTCCCTCATCCACAATCAATTGGATTCTTTTAGTTTAATATTTACTTGCTAAGATGGAATGCTAGTCTGCATGGTGATAAACAGTCTGCTCCTGGCATCTGAAGGTGACCTGTCAGTTCATATGGACAAATCTCCTGCTTACTGAAATGTACAAAATAAATCATTAAAGCAGGCAGGTGCTCATTCCCAGATTTAAATCACCATAGATTTATGATTTGAATTAATGCTTCATTTGGCCATAGAAATAGATGCTGAGACAAATGATATGCACTGGTTGGGGTTTCCATACTGTAGCCATCCTGATATTGATTACTGAGATGTCTTAGCAATCTCTTGTTTATATCAAGTACTATCTTGTGACAGGTTGGCTGATACGAGCTACATTGCAGATAAGAAGGAAAAATGTCCTGGATTCTTTTTAGTGGCAACCCTATCCACAACATGCAGGCCAGATAAATTGCTATTTTTTTTGCTTTAAGGACTGATCTGCATAACCACTTTAAAAAGTGCTCCTTGGAAATTAGAACTGGGATATTGGAAAAGAAGAATTTAAAACTGGTGAACCCAAGGTCAATTTGATAGTGTACATTACTGTGTTTTTATTTGTTTATCTTTTTGGCATTAGACACTTTTGTGGATGCTAAATTAATCACAATTGGTTTAATCTAAATAAAGGAAACTTAATTTTACTTCTAGTTTTTAAATGCTATATAAATATTGACATAGTGAGCATCTCTTAAAGTATCTATGTTTTTTAAATACTTGCTAAGCCTAGTGCCTTACTTCCTTCAGTAAAGACAACAAAGGAAATAAGCCTTTAAAAATAAATGCATTAAATATTATTCCCAAGTGCAAAGTTTTGTGGAACATAATTTACCAAGAGGCAGGAAAAGACTGCATTTGTACTTCTCTTAACATTTTATTTAAGGAAAACACTATGTACACAGTTTAAAAAATACTCAGAGGATTTGAGAGGGACCTTTGCCACTAGCTAATATCTGACTCATAGAACTGGTAAACAGCTATCAACAATAGTAGATTGCTTGCTTAGTAGGAAATGAGTTCATATCTATTCAAAATGTGATCTCAAAACAGATGTCCCAAGAAAATCTCATTGTTTAAACTATAGTCATAACCCCCTAACTGCTGTTATTTCTTTAAGGAAGTGAAGTAATCTTAAGACTTCAGTATTTTGTCTTTTTGAGCACGGAGGAACATAGGCAAGCTGACACTACGCAGCGACCTACACATCTGACCACATTTCACATGCACAAAATGTGTGGTACTTTCT